GATATTCCCCAAAAAATAAATAAATATCGACATCATTACCTGCTCAATTTATCCAACCCCCTCCCCCGAGCCGCATTTGCCATCGGAGTGTTGAGTACCGACAGAAGCATCGCAAGCACCACGCCGCTGATTGTCGGACGGCTTGACGGCCGTCTATCGGTGTTCCGAGACTGAACCTCTGGACCGAATTGACGTACACGCGAATAGGTGAAGGCGCTGCCCCCCCTCCCCACTCGCCCCCCCCCCCCCGTGATTTCGAGCTCGTGCCGTTTTGCTGTCGGAAGCGGCCTCTGCGCTCGAGGAAGCTCTCGAGAGCCCTTCGCACGGAGGCATTCCGTCACGGTGGCTGGACATCATCTTTGGTGGCCACACCTTTACCCCGCCACACACAAGCTGCCAGTCAGATGGAGTGTGACCATTTATACTGCTGGCTGGGAAGAGATTGGGTGGGGATAATTTAAGAAACTTGCATCGTTGTTTCTACTGCCGCTCCGGGACATCAAAACACAAAACATCGACCCGGCGAACCGGTGGATTGCGAGCGCTGCGCGCTGTTGCGGCACAGCAGCTAAACTTTGCGTGCAATCGGGGATGTTTAACCGAGACCGGAGAAATCCGATGAGCTGCGAAGCCGCGTCTGTTTTTGTTTTGTTTGCACAGAGAACCCACGAGCAGTTTGAGAAGAAACTCGTCCCGAATGTGTTGTGCAGGCGGCATGCGGGAGCATGAGATAGGACAGACAGCCCTGGGGGGGGGGGGGGGGGGTCTGCAAAAAAAAACCAAGATAACGAACAGAGCCATTTAACTTTTGTTGTTGTCTAATTTGCTAAAAGAAGCTCAGTGTCTCAACAGCCCCAATTCACGCGAACGAGCGTAATACACGCAGAACTTTTACATTTTGATTTAAAGCTTTCGGGACTGCAGTGATTCACATTCTTGGTTCTTTCGGTGAAGTCACGTTGAAGGGAACACAATAAAATAATAAAAATATATATTGTGTTCCCTTCAACGTGACTTTACCGAAAGAACCAAGAATATACACGCAGGACTTCTTTCGCGCCGTACGTAGCCAACCGTGATCATCGGAGGTGCCAAATACGAGACGATTAAAAGGTGGTCCTCAAAACAAAAATAATCAACGTCACGAAAGCGACGGAGCCTCGTGTTGCCGACGCCTGCGATGGACCCGTCAGCTGCACGACGCATCCAGAAGAGTCTCATTCGAACTCGTCCCCCTGCAGCTCTGCGTCAAACTACTGCTGCTGCTGCTGCTGGATGAGGGCCACCCACGGCCATGCGGGTTTGTGCGGGTTGCGCAGGCGGGGAGCGCGGGTGTGGGTGCATCGAAGTACAGTACAACAATGAGTTTTGCTGCGCTATTGCTGCCCAAAATGTAGACACACATCAGCCTATAGCACCTGATATGCATGGGCAGTCGCCCATCCAAGCGCTAAGGAGGCTCAACCACAGTTTCGCGTCCGTGATCTGGCGAATCGGAGAATGGCATTTTAAAATAAATGCGACGTTAAGGTTACAAGTAAAACACCGGGTTTCCGTTTGCCGTTACAAGCTTGTGCATGCATATTGATTGATACCTGCGAAGGAGAGAATTGAACTATTTTGTCTTTTGTCAACGTGACACAACTTTTTACTGATTGGCCGTGTCGGGTGGTGGAGGCTTACGACGCATTTAATAATAACGCGATCTAACCCAAAAAAACCTTTATTATGAATAATATTGGTCGCGAAAGCATGTACCTCCGAAGCTGAGTATGCACGTGTACGTGTACACGCATGCACATGTACGAGTCGTAAACATGAGTCATAGTCGGACATAATTCAAGTAAATTATCAGAACTTGAGGGCCTTGTTTTGTTCAATTCGTTTTCGTAAGAATTTTTATAAGGCCTCGACGGAATAATTTTGCGAGTTCATGCTCGCATTTTGGTGTGCGATGTTCAGCTGGGATTCATATATTTTTTTGGCCACATAACGCCGGTTGAAGAGAGATTTTTTTTTTCGTAAAAATGGTTAGAAAAGAGAAGGGGAGGAGGAGGAGGAGGAGGGAGAGGAGGAGGGGGGAATCATGGGGAGTGCATTTCCCCAGCGCTTCCTGCCGTTGTGAGGTTTATGACCTCGGTTAAATGGATCCGTTTGAATTTTTTTCATAAGAGAACCGGTCAGGACCAAGGCACTCCCCACGCTGCTTCCCGTTTGTTTAATTGTGGGGAGATGGTAGTGTGTGTGGGGGGGGGGGGGGGGGGGGTGTATATATATATATATTTCCCCAGCCAGATGTACACGGCCTTCATGATAGATGGTGGCCGGAGTGAACGTAATTGCCACGGAGCACATTGTGCAGAGCGCATTCTCGGCTGCCAACATCGCGACGCGCTGGCTTCCACGCCTCATTGAATTCCCCACACCTCTCATTTCGCACGGTTGGCTGCGTACGGTGCAAGAGAAGTTCAACGCACGTGCGCACGTACAATTCGACGGCAAAATCCGACGCGAACAAAAAAAACAACACTGGTTTTGTTTTTTTTTGCGTTGAAATTCATCTTCGTATCCCCAAAGTTACGTGCCGATCGTGCCATCGGCATCCTGTGACAGAGACGCAGAAATGCTCTGTACAGAACTCTCGCTGCTCGTGGTGCAGCAACCTGTGTCAGAGAAAGACCCTGGGAGATGGTGCTTCTACAGAGCTCTTCATCAACAGGCAGGGATACGCCTCACGACGCCTCGCAAAGATTGTCCGTCTCGTGTCAGTTAAAGCAAAGTTAGTTACGTCTCCGGGTGGCAAAGTAAGCGCCAAAGAGGAATGCAACTAGTTGGTATATATATATTTTGTAAAGGAAAGCTTTTTAGTCGGGACTAAAGGATGTCAACATTATCCAAGAGATTGATCTCCAGCGGTAAGGAGTTTCAAAACCACGGCGGCCAGAGCAGTCAACCCGATCACCCCAGCTTCGTGCATTTATCGGTGACCAGGTTGCGACCATCAACTTGATACACTCGATTCAACTAAACTATTTTTTTTATTTGACCAGGTAAGGCCCAGTGAGCTATACTGTTTTCAGAAGCCACCTTGGCCACAAATGATCGCGCAACGAAGTGGCTTATCACGTGGCAATTTATGGCAGTCAAATACACTAAACGCACGTTGATTCTAAATATGGAGGGAAAATCGGAGGACCCGGATACAATTCTATGCGACCACGGGGAGTAAGACACGCAAACTCCAAATATACAGCAGGCGTCAGAGTCGGGATTCAACCCACGACCTCATGTATACCAGGCGAGGCAGTTAACATCTCCTAGCCACCGTGATGATGTTGAGAGAGAGAGAGAGACATGCAAACTCCAAATATACAGGCGTCAGAGTCGGGATTTAACCCACGACCTCCTTTATACCAGGCGAGGCAGTTAACATTTCGCCACCGCGGCACCCGGGTTCATCACGGGTGGCTGAAACCCGGAATCCATCTCAGATTTTCATTGGTGCCGGTGCAGTGGTGCCACCCTCTGAGCCAGTCGGCCATCTCCATGGCAACAAGGAAGGCGTGTTCCCTACCAGGTGGTGTGATGTCATCGTCCTCGCCTGGTATGCAGGAGGTTGAGGGTTCGATCCCGACCCTGATGCCTGTATATTTGGAGTCTGCGTGTTCTTCCTGGAGTCGCGTGGATTTTTCTTCTCCGGGTCCTCCAGTATTCTCCTCCACATTTGGAAACATGAATTTAGATAATTTTGCTGCTATAAAATTTCACGTGATAAGCCACTTTGTTGCGTTATAATTTGTGCTTCTGAAAAATAAGTTATTAAGTCAGTGGGCTTTACCTGGCAAGATAGAAACAATTGGTAAATTTACATTGAATATTTTAAGTTATTTGTTTACCTTTCCTATACTTGGAACTCCTATTGTGTTTTTGTATTGATTGTAGTTGTCAAGTTCTGACCCGCCCCTACTGCACATCTGTGAAAAAGAGCTTTATAGCTCATCAGATTCCTCCGTTATAAATAAATATTCTAATTCTGAGGTGCGACGGCCTCGTTTGTAGTTATCACAGCTCCGCGCTGCGCTGTCAACGACAAAAATAAACCCCACTGACTTGATTGTGGATCGTAAAGGAAGTCTCAGCCCAAAAAGACAAATAGCCCCTTTATCTTTTAGATATGCACCTCGGCTCTGTGTCCCGGGCTGACCAATTTGAGATTGAAGATTGCTCAATGCTCTAACCTCTGAGTCGTGCCGCTCGGCTCGCACTGCTGAGATCCTGGGATTGAATCCAGGCAGCCGCCTATACATATGTCTGTATGTTGAACTTCTTTCCCACCGTACATAGCCGACCGTACTAATTAGTGGTGCGGGGGAAGGACAACAAACGAAACACAAAAAAGCAGTTCTATGGAAAGTATTAAATCTGGTTCTTAATTATAGACGATTGATGGTCATCGATGATTGTACCAATACACGTTTGCAAAAAATAAGGTTCCGAACTTTTTTTTGACTAAACATCAGTTCTGAGAATTTTAAAGATCAGTTTTGCGCCACACCCGATGAACGTTACTCTCATTGGCAGAGCAGTTGGCAAGGTTCTGCTCGCTACTGTGTGGACCAGAAGTCACTTGAAGGAATCTCAGAGGTAGCTCTGTGACATCCATTTACGCAGACGGTTCTCTAACATGAAGGGTTCCAGTGTTCTTTTAGATATGCAACAAAAATTGGAAGAAAACCAATGAACTTAATGGCACAACTGTACGTGTGCATGTGTGTCTGACTATTATCATCAGTGACGATTATCTGAACCCGGTCCTGGGCCTCCCTTGGGTCGACTCAACCTCAAATGAGTATCCGATGCAATGCGCACAACATTGCCACTCGGGAGACAGAGGTGGCCGGGCATGGTGCCGGCCTCCATGGACGCTGTTCGCTAAAACAGCCCTTGCCCCAACAGTCTGTTATGGCTATACGGGGGATCTTTGTCTGTGTGTGTCACAGCTGCGCGAGGACGAGATCGCCACGGTGCTCAAGTCGACGCTGAAGGGCCTCGAGTACTTGCACTTCATGCGCAAGATCCACCGCGATATCAAGGCCGGCAACATCCTGCTCAACACCGACGGTCACAGCAAACTCGCCGACTTTGGGGTCGCGGGCCAGCTCACGGTGAGTTTTGGGCGGCAGGGTAGGTGGTGTCCACCCATCCACCCGTCCACCCATCAAACCCGTTCATCCATCCACCCGTCCACCCATCCACCCGTTCACCCGTCCACCCGTCCACCCATCCACCCGTTCACCCGTCCACCCGTCCACCCATCCACCCGTCCACCCTTCCACTCGTTCACCCATCCACCCTTCCACCCATCCACACTTCCACCTTTCCACTCATCCACACGTCCACCCGTCCACCCATCCATCAAACCCGTTCACCCGTCCACCCTTCCACTCGTTCACCCATCCACCCTTCCACCCATCTACACGTCCACCCATCCACCCATCCACTCGTTCACCCGTCCACCCATCCACTCGTGCACCCATCCACCCATCCACCCGTCCACTCATCCACCCGTCCACCCGTCCACCCGTCCACCCATCCACCCGTCCACCCATCCACCCATGCACCCATTCACCCATCCACTCGTCCACCCATCCACCCGTCCACCCATCCACCCATCAAACCCGTTCACCCGTCCACTCGTTCACCCATGCGCCCATCCAACCGTCCAGCCCGTCCACCCATCCAAGCCGTCGTCCACCCGGCAGTCCTAGTCCTCACTTTTAACGAGCATGGTGCCCCCCCCCCGCCAGCCACCCTTTTAAACGGAGCTCCATAGCCATTAGCTCGGGTTCTGCGCCCTAAATTGGGTGCAGGCCAGCTCCCATGCTCGCTGGTAACACTATATCCACGCTCGTGGCCAGGCCCAGCGGTGCAGGGGCTTGTTTTTTTTTTACGTGCGTGCGTGTGGTGTGTTGACCGCTTACAGCATTCCTTTACGAGCAGGGAATTGTAAGTTGGACTCGAGCGACCCAATTAACCGCCTGCGTTTGTCTAGCAGCGGCGATTGACTTAAGCGAGCGCAGGCCGAAACCGTTGGCTTTCTTTGGGGGAGTGGGCGGTGGGGGAGAGAGGTCACGCATTTGGAAAGTTTTCAGTCCATGCCCACTTGTGGCAGGTGAACGTGACCTGAGCCAGTCGTGGATATTCCCTCTTCCGCTGACAGGGTTCCAGTTTAATAACAGGAGAAGCACAACTTGCAATTCACGCCACGCTGGATTTGCCCCCGTCGGATCTCAGCAGCTACGCAAGTTGGGCGCCTAGTGAGCACTTGGACAGATCTTAATGGCGATGCAGGGTTTGGTCCGCAATGTGCCCAGCAGATGGAAGTGCAGCAATGGATTGTTGAATCTATCTGCGAGGTGCCGAGCGCTTCCCCCTAACATGTGCGCTTACTCCAGTTGTCCTCCCACGTGCCAAACTCCCATTCGTGGACTTGACCAAACATCCCAACGTTGACCCCCTTATGGAGAAAACTGCTTTGAAGCTCGGTTATTCTCCCCTGGGTTAAACGCTGGAGATTAATCAGCTGGTGCTCGCTCTCGTCATGGTGCCATCTAACTTAGATGGTAATGCAGACAATGACACAGCACATGCAACCGTTGCGTGCGACGCGCCTCGCGCTTTGCGGTAGCATCTCCCTGTGGGAAGACGACTAAAAAAAGGCAACTTATAAGCAACAGCGGGGGTGTGGGCGCGGGGAGACATTTTCTTTGGTAAGTTTTTTATTTTATTTTTATTCCAGCATCTGCCAAACGCACACGCGCACGGCATGCATGGAACACAAATCGGCTGTTGGTCGCCACGGTTTATTTTCGCGTCACAATTCGCGGTCAGCGGCGACAACATCGCCGGCGTGCGAGAAGGAGAGAGCGCCGGTAAGGCTGGGCTCGGTGCGAGTGACGAACCCTGCTGCCACCCCCCCCCTCCCTCCCCCCCGCTCGACTTGGTGAGCGGCGACGTGACGTGGTGGATATAAAACACGGAAAAATACTTGTGAACGTCTTGAAGCGCACGGGCAATCGTACTTTACAACTCCTCGGGACACCGACTCAAGGCGGTCACAGGAAAAGACATCATCGTCAAACCTCGAATGTATTTACTTTAACCTATTAAAAAAAAAGACTACTATTTGTATGTAACCAGCGAAGGTCCACTGAGCTATATAGCTCTTTTTCAGAAGCGATCTGACCATCACAAATGATAGCCCAAAGAAGTGTCTTATCAAGTGGAAATTTATAGCAATAACAAATATTCTATGCGCACGTTGATTCTAAATGTGGAGGGGAAAAAAACAGAGGATCCAGATGAAAAATCCACTTGACCACGGGGAGATAGACATGCAACTCCAAATATACAGCAGGCGTCATGGTCGGGATTGAATTTACGGCCTCCTGCATACCTGGCGAGGTAGTTAACATCTCATAGCCACCGCGGCATAAGGCTCCGATTTCCCTTGTGCTCTAAGCCCCGGGCCCTGGAACCCCCTCCGGCCAATTCAAAAGCAAAATCAGAATCGTTATTTATCCTTTAGGAATCCGATGAGCTATGAAGCTCATTTGCACAGATGTCCAGTAGGGGCGGATCATAAAGTTACAACAGCAAACGATACAAAGCAAAATCTAGGAAAGGTAAGTCACCGGACGTAAATAAGTAATATATAAAGTATACAAGTCCAAATTGCAAATGCCCATTAATTCCTGCCAAATTTTCAACACCAAATGCAAGCTTGGGGCAAGGTGGCAAAACAACAACAGTCCCAGGCCACAGAAAGACAACATCAGCCACAGCCCCTCAATTAAATTGCACCTAAACATTAGCCCCCCCCCCCGCACCCCCGATGCAGCTGCACCGCCTGCACACTTCGCTAGACTGCCCCGCGAGGGCCCAGCCGCGAGCTCACGGCGGCGTTGTCCCGTCCAGGACACGATGGCTCGCAGGAACACGGTGATCGGCACGCCGTTCTGGATGGCGCCCGAAGTGATCCAGGAGATGGGCTACAACTGCCTGGCGGACGTGTGGTCGCTGGGCATCACCGCCATCGAGATGGCCGAGGGGAAGCCGCCCTACGCCGACATCCACCCCATGCGGGTACCCTGCACGCGCACAGGCGCACAGGGCCCCGAGTGAGTTCGACGGAACCTCTCGGCGCCCGTGTGCTTTTCAGGAGCCCCTCTTTGTTTCTTCACTTCTTTCCGCCGACGTGTTTTGATGCCGCAAGCGGCCGAGAAATGTTGAGGTGAGCCTCAACTTTTCTTGTGTCACGGAACCAAGGTCGAATTCTCATTTAATTGTTCTTCTTACCACGATGCTCCCGATCATTGCAATTCTCTTCCGCTAAAAAAAAAATCTTTCCCAGTCAGTTTTTATTTCATATTGACCGTTCATTATGAATGGTGGTGCAGTCATTGTGAATTCAAACACTTGGTCGGGAATCGAACTGAGGACGCCAGGTTAACAGTGCAGCGCATGCACCACCGCTTCATGTACGTGGGTAGTGTTTTAAACAAAACAAAATCTGTATTAATCTGTGTTCAATAAGTGTGCCCTGCTCTCTTACTAAGTAGTGTTGGCCCCCGTGAGTTGCAGTGTTGATCGAGTGATTAGGCCCTGTCCGTATTTATTTGCACAGAGTGTTTTCCCGAGAGCTCGGTCCTGTTTGCGTGCCTGCGTGACATTTAACGAGCCTTAATAGGTTGCTTATCAATACCTCTTGTCTCAACAGCCTATTCAGGCCCAACAGAGGCACCTTTGTCTTTGGTGCCATGCAGGGTAGAATCAAAGGCCCTGTCTGTTTACTCCAAAATTATTTTTTATCACGTAGTAGCTTCTCGTGGTGTCCACCTAACTCGATTGGTGGCCATTTAAACAGTTTAATGTTGGGGGTGGTGCAGTAGAGTCATTCATTCCTTGCGTTATCTACCCGATGAGCGGAGTTCGTTTCCCGGCCACAGCTAACATCGGTGGCGAGCTTCATCTGAAAGTTCATGCCTCCTCACTCTTCACCAACCCGCACTCACACGCATGGTGAAGTATGGTCAAACAGGCCTCAATACCTAAAAAAATGTACAAAGTTGGAACAATTTTTTTTGGGGAGGGTCGGGGGAAACATTGTCAAAGCTGAAAGATTAAACAGCGAATCGTCGGTAACATTCATAAAGTAACAACTCATCGCTGACTCAGCAGCGGAGGTGCCTGGAAGACGGTGGATGGCGCTCAACCGAATTGGCACGACGGGACACACGGTGGGGTCAGGCGGTGACGATGAGAGATGTGAACCCCCCCCCACCACCACCCCCCCCCCCACCCCCCCCACCACCCCCCCCCCCCCCCCACCGCTGCCAGTGTAGTTGACCGAGGTCGTGAGTCCCAGACCGTGGAACGCATCGCATCGACCTGCCCGCTGAGATGTGTTTGGCGTAGGCGCCTCCTCTCCTCCGGCTCGTCGTCTCGGGAAGCCGTTTGAGTGAAGTCGACAGACTTGGACGTCCCCATCGCGGTCCCGGCTTTTAACGCCGTGCGAAAGAGGAACGCTCACGCGTTGCACGAGGTTGCGTCTGCCGCGCTGTGAAGGCATGCCACGCTGCTAGGTAGACCTGTGGCACCGGTGCTCGAGGGAAACTACTACGAGCAGCTGGATTGCGTGTCCGTGAATTGGTTTGCAATTTTCGGTGGTTTCACGGGTTTGTGTTTACATTTATTTCATATTGCTTAAGATTTTGTAACGTGTTTTTTTTTTGTTCCAACATATCAAGCTGTAAATGGGATGAATTTGGTCTTCGTGCGAAGAACGTTGTGGTTTGTTGAGGACGTGGATAAACAGGGAGACACACCGCCTCCCGAATTACCCCGGGATTTCGAGGACAGGCGGAATTTGAAATGTGGTTCAGATCTGCGCAAATACACGCGGACGTAAACGGCTCGCAAATTTTGTATGCGTTTTTTTTGTTAACAGGTGGAGATTGTTTTCACTTATAATTTGCAACAAAAAAAGAAAAAAAATCTTCCTACGACCATCTGCAGTCTGGGGCTGGGCGGGGGGAAGGAGCAAAATGAGCCTTGGGGCAGACAAATGCAGTCGCGCCGTTTATCCCAAATTAGATTTAGCGTCGCTGCTGTAAAGTGTTGAAAAGCTGTGTGGCCTCGCTGTTGTCTCATCATCGCCCGCCTGTGACCCGTGCAGCAGGCTGCCACTCATTTGCGGGGGGCCACACACGCGCACACGCGCGCACACATGCGGACACGCGCACACGCGCGCGGGGAGTTTACCGCACACCATCGACGCCGCACTAATGGGCAGCAGATGCACTTCTCATTTCGGCTTCGACGGGAGACAGTTTTTTTCTTTTCCCAAACTTGTTTTTTTCAAGATAACATGTGTCCGCGTATGTTTTTTTTGCGATACGGGAGCGGAGGTTAGGTTTAGCTCACCCGATGCGGTGCGTCGGGTTTGTGCCGCACTTCTGTCGCGCCGTTCCTGGGGAGAAGCTCCCCAGCCCGTAGAGCGAAACGTCGGACATCGTGCAGTACAACGCTCGGTGCAACCAGAAAACTCCGTGGCAAAACTGGGAACGCCTATGCAGGAGGCGGTGATGAAGAGCCATTGTGCGAAACGTCCCCTATTAAAAATTCGTTTTCCTTTTCAAGGCCACGGTGTTATTGATAAAACGTGTTTATTTTTGGCGGTCTCTGCAGGACGGCAGATGTTTTACTGAAGTCAGAGTCGTCCCTTTGTTTTGAATGGAGGGACGATTTATGTAGCATTCCATGATTGAGCCAAATTAATTTCCACGTAAACCTTTAGTAAAAAAGGAATGCATTGATCGTGGCTGCAGCTGCTGCTACTGCTGCAGATGACAAATGTTGAACACAGAGGCCTGATGGGTGTTATGCAGCGTTGCCAGATCTCCTTTGTAGGAGTTATGTCTATCCATACGGTTGTGTATTTGAAGTTCTTACTGAGTAAAGTAGCCGTTAATGACTGCCTCCCTATAAAATAAATATCCCCTCCGTGTCTGTACAGCGTCTTGAGGTCGCAGTTGTGTTTTGACACTACTCTACAAATCCATTATGTTACATCTCTTATTTTTTTCTTGAGAATGTAACTTTTTTTTCTTCAAACGCTCGTTCATAATGTATCACGTAGGCTTCCGCTACAAATATTATTCATAATCAAGATTATTTTAGGGGTTCGATCGCGTAAATATTCTGTCAAATCGCCTGGTTAAGCCGGCTGTCGTAATCACCGGCGGAACGCCGTCATTGAATTGTTAATATCGTGGCCTTACTCTCCAACACGCAAACGGTGTTTTGAAGTGATAACTAATTGGCACATTTTGTTCACGTGACAAACGATACTCATTGGCTGTGTCGGGAGTGGCGGTGGGTTAACGACGCTTGTTTATCATTTTACGCAAGCGTAGTCGGCTCCAGAAGGAGGAGCGCGCGCGGTGGTTTAAGACGTCATCTTTTTACCTATTTCTTTTTGACCGCCAAGAAAACTGAGTGAGCTTGGCGCAGAAACGCGTCGCTGGGAGCGACGACCGACCGACCGACCGGTGGTCACAGACTCACGGTGGTAGCCGAGAGGAATCCCCCCCCCCCCCCCTCCGAGAGGAACGTCAGCCGCGGAGACGGAGCACTGAAATAATCTCGCGTGCAGGCGTTAGGTGGATGGTGACATCGCAGAACACACAGGGGTGAAGGGGGGGTGGGGGTGGGGGTGGCGGCGGCGACGGCTTCGGGGAAGGCCTTCATCCAGCAGTGGAGAGATCGTGGCCGAGGACGATGTGTACCGTGCGTTCCACCTCGTTACATCGTGGCTCTGCGTCTCGTCAAAAAAATATTTCTTAGACGAATTTAATTTGGGCCCTACCACTGTAGCACCGTGACATTGTGACTGCCCTTTGTCTGCAGGCACAGGGCGAGTTTCGTAAATATTGAAACAAACAAAGTAGATTTTTTTCTCCCTCTAGCGGCTCATTTGTCTCGCTTGCTCTTTTTGGTTCTCTGACACGAATTCAAAAAGTTCCGTTTTTTTTCTATGCGCGCGTGTGTGTGCGTGTGTAGCAAAAGGGAAATGAGTGAAGAGAACTGGGAAAATAAGCACGGCCTTTAACGGAGCAAGTTTCGTTGGGCTGATACCTTTAAGGAGCGAGTCTTTCTTGCGTTCGTGACTTTCACGGGCAATTTCACCCAAGAGCTGATTAGCGAAGGGCTCTAAGCTCCGGAGCAGGGCAGCTTGAAATCGTAATGAAGATTTTTTTTTAGTTTTCACGTTCAATTCGGGCAAACATCTGTTTATAATTTTTTTTTTAAATCATTCCCTTTTCGGTATCAATGTTGGAGGAAATCCATGAAGTTTCATTGTTGCAAGGTTTATATTCGGTGGGAAAATGAAAAAAACATGTTGCAGTAAATAACATGGGCACTTATTTACAACAGGTTGCTTCACCTATTTTTTTTTCGAGAAGGCCGCACTAAAAATTAAAAGTTGCATCTGTCGGTAGGCCACTTGACGTCAATTTGGCTTCACATGGCATCATAACGTCACGTGACCAATGATTTCCACCTTTTCGCGTCCAAGTCCGATCGCGCCGATGAGATCGGGCACACTCGAAAAGAGTGCTTCGGTCGCTGGCAACTGGTAACTTAGTGCACATGTGCAATGCGTAAGTCGAGCGTGGTATGCCTAAACAGAGACATTCGAATGTAATCCACGTGTAACTGTTCCAGTTATTAAGCGCGTGCACTGAACTCGTTTACAACTGAATCACAAGATTAATAATACAATATGCAACGTCGGTTGTGTGGATTCTCTGAAACATTAAACTCCTGCACGTTTACTCTGGTTCAATGGAAGGCGCTTATTGTGCTGTTAAAATACATTTCCCAGGACAGGATGCTGTGCGCGTCTCTCCTATTTTTGGAAATGCAAACAACCAGCAGGGCAGGAGGTGTCATTAGCAAGTGTCCATATTTGCTTTTGCAAAATGTTGTTTCCATCTGGTTTAAAATATATATCCGTGTATTTTATTAACACTTTAAAGCCGATGTTAAATGAATACATTAGCTCTGTAAATCCATCTCCA